TATATAACTACAATATAATATTGACACAATTCAAAAAAAAGTAGGGGATACTGAAATGCAAATACTTATGCAGGTTTTGATATGATAAATAGTCATAACACTTGACATGCTTTGAGAGTACGTTCACAGATGAAAAACTTATCGCCCCAACAATACCAATAAGCTGCACATGCGACACACAATAGCGACATACACGTGGGAGGGGTTCATTGTCAAATTTGACACTTCAAGGAAGGGTTGATGAAAATTGCCGCGTGCTGGTTTATCTATCCATGTTTGCTTTCCTATCGGTTCTTGCATAAGATTTACTGTTTAGCGTACCTTTGCTTTAGTGTGTTACGGTTAATTTGACCGAGAGACGTGTTCGTCAACGTCAACGTACAACACTGCAAGAATTGGCCGTGACACTGCAAGAGGAGTAGGTCAGATTGCTCCAAATCGTCATTGGACGGTTGATCAGGAGCATGCCAAGACGAACTGCTGAATGTCTGAGGATTGGTGGAGCAATTACTCATTATTAGGACAAAAATAAAAAAACGTCCATTTTCACTTTTAACAGTGTATCTCTTTTGAGGGTGAAATGGGGCCGTCAGATAAGCCGCCCATATGAACTGTTTATGTTCATGTGTAGGCAATTGGCCTGTTATTAAGATACACAGCTGGTTACCTCTAATAAAAACAGCGGTGCGTTCCCGCAGTTTTGTACTGTCATATCATATCACCGATTCAAACAGCACGACGAATCACATTTCTACTTTAATGGGATGACGATGAGTTGGTGGTAAACACGCACACAGCAGTCACTAAACTAAATAGTTGACTCTCCGCACCACATTTAAGAATCACATTTCTACTTTAATGGGATGACGATGAGTTGGTGGTAAACGCGCACACAGCAGTCACTAAACTAAATATTTGACTCTCTTCACCACATTTAAGAAGGTGATTAAGATGATAAGGTTGATGAGTTATTCATGTAGATCTTTTAATCACCTCAAAGTGTAATGATATTGTTGGAATTTTTGCTCTTGAAATTAATGGTGGCAGTATATTTCATTAATTAATATATTTGGCAAATTAATAGTTTCACACATATTCACATATATATTATATATAGTGTGTACTAAATCAACTTAGTCTGTAATTGACAGTTAACACATAAAAAGAGTTATTTAGCCAAAACATGTGTCAATAAAATACCACCAGATTACACGTGAGTGGAATTATTCTAATTTCATCATTTGGCTTAACTTTACCAATCATATCAGAAATTACACAACTTCATCGCCATGAACACGCTTTGTTATGCGTGATTTCCGTGAGTGCTATATAAGATATCTATTTGAACCTTTCAGGCAGACTTCCATTAGATTCCAGAGATGTTCCATCTGAGTTCCTAGACAGCCGCGAGGCTGGCTAGGGTGGAGAAATGGTTTTAGCTAGTATTGTTATATATTATGCTTGTATACATGTATTCGGCTAGATATATATAAAATGTAGAAGCGAACTGTGCTACAAAAGAACAATTCTTGTCCGACTCTGCTGTTTGTTCTAATTGCTCGAAGATTCATATCACTGTTTTTATCTGTCCATATTATAATCAATATAGACTTCATATGTTCGAAATTATTAGCAAAATTATAAATGATCAAAATATTACTAGACATTATTTTACTGGGAGGTGAAAACTTATCATTGGAACCAAATATAGCTGTTCATCTTTTTTTTATCAAACAAAGTCACAGACTTTAAAATCAGTTCAAAATACACTTCCACACAACCTCTGTATACATGTTCATTAAATCTAATGTTGGTTCACTCTTTAAACATATAATTTTGTGAATTAATAACATATTCATCTTTATTACCTTTGTATTTATGGAATGAGCTGATGATACAGGTTTCAAGCCTCTTGCTCAATCCCATTCGTTTGTGAATAATATATTGTTTAAATAAATAAAATAAATAAACACATCTTTTCAATCTAGTACGTTAATTTTTAGCGACAGATCAATTCCTAAACGAGTGCGATCGGGCCAGCAACCGAACACGACGTCATCGCATCCATCTGAAATAGTGACGTCATATCAAAAATTGAAGTCCGCAAATCGATGCGCAGTTGTCCAACAAACAAGTATACAAGTTCCATAATGATTGTACTAGAATTGCCGGAGCATAAGGTTATCTTGAGAACAACGCTCGGGAACAAGAACAATAAGTGTGAGATATCTAAGTTCCTGCTTCAATATTATATGCCATTTGTTTCTTGGTTTATTAAGGTAGAAGGGATTGGGTTAGGTGGGTTTTAGACTATGGGGTATGTTATTGAGTCAAATGACGTGACAAGGACTAGGGTCGACTCTCCTATTATATCCCACCGGTAAAGCCCCCATATGTTAGTCCCGAAATGACCTAGGTTGTTTCCAGTGGGTGGCCCCTCTATCTTTTACGTGTACGCGAATATGTACACTGGTGTTGGTCCAATCTAACGACTATATACTCTCCTGGCCAGACTCTCCGCCCCGTACCACTGATAAGGGGTCACCATGCCGGGAAAATCCAGAGGAACTTTCTCGTCCAACCCAAAACCTAGATATAAAACACAAATTTATATGGAAAACAATCATTGGGTTTATTTCACACTACGTTTCAACAAGAACACTACGTTTCAACAAGTGTGAAATAATGCCAGTGATTGTTTTCCATATAAATTTCTGTTTTATATCTTATGTTCAGTTACTAAATGCCGTATAAGGATTTCATCACCTAGATAGCAAGTCAATTGTGTCACTCATTGACCTACCACGACTCCCTGTTATCAATAGTCATCATACTAAAGTATTCATATCACATCTATTCTTATCTGACACATTTAACATATTTTACTTAATCATGGTCACAAACTTGACCGTGTTTATATTGTATAAAATAACAGGGAGGTTTAAATCATTTTAAATCAGAAAGCTGGCGGCGTAACACGTGTCAGTCATTCTGCACAAAGACATCCATCTACTTTATTCTTCGAGAATAGATCTCTGTCCTAAATGGCCGCCATTTCCAAAACTTAGTATACTGTTTTGTAATGAGTTTCTACTCCGCTTCACATCAGCCATACACACACAGACTAAATAAACTTTACTTTATTAAATGGAAACAGAATAAATCTTCTCGAAGTATACTTAGTGTTTTCGACTAAAATCGTCGATTTAGAACTTAAAATATCGGCCAACTAGCTTAATGTGTATTCTCAAGCGGAGCTAACTAGGCAGACAGACTAAGTATGGTATGCCATGTCAGTATTACTACTTTTTGGACCAGCATCTCTTACTCAAGCGCTACTCTCTTTGTTGTTATTATTCCTCGTCTTAGTTTCTAAGCTCTTCTAAAAAAGAGCTACTATTCAAGTATGAATAACATGAAAGTGAGCATGTGTGTTCCTCGGTCAATTACACATTGATTGATATCAGCTAGTTGTTGTACTTTGCATTGAAGACTCTTCTCTCTTAAACCTCGATATTAAATAGATGGTGTCCTTTGCATTAGGATAGCCTATGCTCTTCCCTTCCCCAATCATTGTTACCTATCTTATGTGGGATCTGGGCGTCACGGTGGCTAAGTGGGCGAGACGCTGGCTCGCTAGCCTGGGGGTCGTGGTTCACCCCCAGTGTTGGACGAGAAAGTTCATCGGGTTTTTTGGACGTGGTTTCTGCTTGTCGGTGGCGCAGGACGGAGGGTCTGACAAGGACAGCTGTCTAGTTGTTCGGATGGGACGAAAAACCGAAGTCTCTTGTACACATTGGCGTACACGTAAAAGATCCCTTGGCAGTTGGAATCTGATAAATGGATAGACCTTAGCGAACTGTATAGCGTATGCTCGTCTTCATTAACCCAGTCAGAGTAGAACAGTACGACGTTAAATCACATCTCATTTCATTTACGATGCCCGGGTGGACAAATTTATATCCAGAAGGCACAGTAGCACACTAAAGTGTGTGTTCGGATTCGATCCCGTTTGTTTGCATATCATTAACAGCGCCTTAAAGATCTCCCGCATAGCACTGTACAGAAACTTAAATATAAAACAGAGACTAGAATTGTTGCTTTAAATGAATAGGAATCGTGGTAAAACTCCTAAATAAAAGAAAATTGACGAAAATCGGACATTCCGTTATCGATATATTTAGATTGGAAAACCCCCTTTGCACCTGTCTGGTAAAATCCAATTATCGTACGAGTCGATATCCGGTAATTCCCTGAAATATTATGTTATGCCGTCATCTAGACCAGTGTAAACGAAATGGCTACTACATGTTGCGATTTAGATAGCGCATCAAATATAGAGTTCTAGACGAGTTAAATTTGAATGACATATATATTGTGTGTGAAAGAGGGAACCATTAGAGACATTAGATTCAGAAAAAAAAACACGGGGTTGGTACAGAAAAATAGAATTTAAAACACCATTTAGGAGAGCCACCCTTGCCAAGTGAGTACGGCACTGGCCCACTAATCGAAAGGTTTTGGGTTCGAATACGGCTGAGAAAGTTCCTTGGAATTTTCCGGCCTGGTTTCCCTTTCAACAGAGAGAGAGAAATGGCGTTTAACGTCCACTCGACACAAACTAGGTCATTTCTGGACTAACATATGGTTCAATTTTATTTCAATAATTCGCTTGTGCGTAGGGGTCTTTAGCAGTGGGAGGACCCGGAGAAAACCCACGAGGTTGGACAGGCGACCCTACTCCTTGTCACGTACAACCGGGGAATCGAAACCACGCCAGTTGACCCAATGACAGTCCTTATGATACAGCTAACCATTCGGCCATCCAACCCCCCTTTTAGGAGAGAGAGAGAGCGCGCCTTTCAAAGAATAACACCTACCCTTCTCTTTAAAGGACACGTACGGTGATTATCGTCGCAACTCGAGAAGCTCCCTCATTTTATTGCACGTAACATAGTAAATACAAGTCGTATAGTACAGTATTTGGATATCTTCCTATGGAATAGGGCAATCAGATGAGATGGATTTGAATACTCTAAAGACCATTGCTTCTGATGCAGTCGACAAACATAAAGACGAATTAAATGAATTAAGTCAAGCTATATGGTCTGTACCAGAGCTTAACTTCAATGAACATTCTGCTCACAGAGTTTTAACAAAGTTTCTAGAGAAGGCGGGATTTAAAGTTGAGAGAAATTTTATCCTAGAGACGGGATTCAGAGCAACTTATGGTGATAATGATTCGTCTAAACCTAATATTTGTGTGATATGTGAGTATGATGCTTTACCGGAAATAGGACATGCTTGTGGACATAATCTAATAGCTGAAGTTGGTGTTGCTACAGGATTAGCTATTAAAGCTGCCATGGACGCTTCGCCGGTTCCACTCGGGAAGGTTTGTATAGATTAACTTGGTTCGTGTATTCAGAATTTTTATTTTATTTGGGAACCCATTTGCTTTCATATTTTATGGAGTCACGGTACCGAGAATATTCCATGCAGATTTTCCGACCTGGGAACAGCGTTGGATTGAATCCTGGCGTGGAGTTCGTGGGTTCGATCCAGGTGTTGGTATAGGTCGGAGGAGGGCCAAGCACTAGCAACAAACATCGTCTAGTCGTTCGAATGGGACGAAACACCACGTAAAATAACCCTTGGAAGATGCAATTCTACGAAAAGTAGGCGGACAAGGCGCTGACAGACCAAATTTCCCCTCATAGTACAAAGCATGGGGTAGATCAGTTTGCATTATCCCAGTCGGTGAAGAAAAGTAATGCGTTAAAGATATTTAGTTTCATTTTTGGACCAAATTTATCTTTATTCCAGAGGCTTTTTTTTTTGGGGGGGGGGGGTCGAATGGTTACCGCGTGCGCGCTGTATCATAATGTCTATCATTAAATCAACTGGCATGGTTTCGATTCCCTGGTTGTTTGTGACATGGAGTAGGGTTTTCTCCAGTTCCTTCGGTTTCATGCCACTGCTAAAGACCCCTATGCGCAAGCGAAGTATTGAAATAATATTGAACCATATGTTAGTCCCGAAATGACCTAGTTTGTGTCGAGTGGGCGTTATAGACCCCCTCCTCTCTCTCTGTCTCCCTCTGACTCTGTCTGTCCAAAATTCATCAGCAGGAAAACCTGTTCACTGAAAATATATACTTCAATTACACTTCAGGTAACTGTTCTGGGGACACCTGCCGAGGAAGGTGGTGGTGGAAAAATCGATTTAATCAATGCGTATGTATTTGACGATATCGACATAGCAATGATGTCACACCCGGCGCCATTTGACCAATCAAGACCAACGTTACTGTCTTACGTCAGGTACGCGTATGTTTATCGTTATATGTCAGTGAAATCAGCAACTGAGTCCACCAAGTGAATTCATCCAGTAATTACCCCCTAAATACCACGAAACTCATTAGCCTATTAAAACCTATTTACACACCAAGCCACCGTGGCCCCGGAAATCAAAGTTGCTATACTGATTGTGGAATCAACTCCGGCTATAAGTATCATCTGTGTTTAGTTTTTTAAAAAAAAAACGAGGCCCGTGTACATATTTGCGTGCTCGTAAAATATCCCGAGGCAGTGGGAATTTGATATAAGCGTGTGTTGTAGTGCCGCTGTCCGGGCAAAATTTCTTTTGTAGCTCATATGGCGTATGTCTGTCTTTATTAGCCAAGTCGGAACAGAGCAGTAAGATGTTAAACCTCATTTCATTTCATCTTTGTTACAAAATTGCTTCTTTTGCAATTTATGGTGGATGGAGCGTTAAAATTAGGACCGTTTCAAAAGTACTATAGGTCCGTAGCCAATCGGTGCACTGGGGTCGCCTGCTTACCATGCCACTCATGGGAATAAAAATGCAAATGATCGATAAAACTAAACATATATTTATTGTATTGGTACTTCCAACAAAATTAGTGTTGAACCTTTAAAACAAGTCACAGCATAGCCTACAACGATTAACATTAGGTCACCTCTGCCCGTGGGACCCCGGGACATGTGTATTTATTTATCATCTTCGTGAATCAGTAAGTGGTCAAATACTTGAAAAAATCTTGCATTTGGAGAGAGAAAGAGGGAGACAGATACTTTTGTAACATAATGTGAGGGACAGTGATAGGTAAAAGATTAGAATCACCATATGACAGCTTGTGTGATACAATCTCCGATGTCCTTTAATTGACCATACTATTGTTTAATTTAAAGCTCCAATTTCATATTTTCTAAGAAAGTCAAAACATAATTATTTCTATTTCTTTAGCTCAATAGGTTGTCAACTCACTATTATTCGATCATAGTTATCATTCTCACACCCAAATAATAAAACAATTACCTCCCCTGTTTTTCTATTCCCCACCATAGCTATCTTCGAACGTTTGAATTTGAAGTTGAAAATGATATTTTTGCCAATTTCTCAACTGGCAATAGTGATTAATAGGATTATTCTTTATCAAGGCAGGACTGTTTATACATAACACCGATTTTAAGGCTTTATTTTAATACATTTTAAAAATATAACTTAAAAATATGAAATTGTGGCTTTAACAAAGGCCCAGCGGCTGGCATTTCTATAGTGGTCAAGTTAGATAATACGCTGACAGCTGGTTGCGTTTACTACAATGTGTTCATTTTTCACACATCAATTGTTCTGTAACCTGCTATGTGATTATCGTAAGATAATCTTAAGTTCTTTTGTTCAGAATCATTAATGAATGTACCATTTGAGTATAAACTTATGGCGGGGTATCGGGTTCAAAATGCAATTGAGAGTAAAAAGCAGTGATGCAGTACGGAGGGCCTGGCAAGGACAGTTGTCTAGTCGTTCGGATGGGACAAAAAACGGGGTCCCGTGTACACATTGGCGTGCACGTAAAAGATCCCTTGGCAGTTGGAATTCGATATAAGAGTAGGCCGTAACGTCGCTGCCCGGGCAAAATTTCCCTCATAGCACACTGTATGGTAGATGCCTGTCTTTATTAGCCCAGGTTAGGAGCAGAACAGTAGGACGTTAAACCCCATTTCATTTCATTTACGAAGTAATCTTTATTCATAAACACTGTTACTAAGAAATCGTTATTCGTTAATACTGTGATTATTAATAACGTCCAATTTTCTTCGTAAACATCGTGTTATTGGGTAATCGTACATAATGTCGTGCTTTCATTCGTAAATAGTGCAGTTATCAATAAAGTATTAACGAGCAAACCTGTGATTATTAAATAAAAGTTTTTCGTGGTTTCACGATAATCTTTATTCATTATTACACAAACACTGGTTCCGGGGTAATATTTATTGTAAACACGCTGGTTCCGTGGCAATCCTTTTTCGTAAACACTGTGGTTATGAATAACGTCTTCCAATCTTTCTTCGTAGACACGGTGGTTACCAGATATCTTTCATTGTAAACACCGTGGTTACCAAAAACGATATCCTATTTTTTTTAATCTAGTTGTAAAGTCGTGTATAATGGACGAGCTTCACATGCGGCTGGTTTTCCATGGGAAGGTGTGAACGCCCTAGATGCCGCTGTTCTGTGTTACCAGAATGTATCCTGTTTAAGACAACACTTTAAACCACTATGGAGAGTTCATGGTAAGCCTCGCAGTAATACGATATACCCCAAGTAGAGTTCATGATAAGCTTCTTTGAAACACGATTCACCACCGGTTCATGATAAGATTTATTCCCAGTTCTAACAGAATTCACGATAAGCTTCTCAGTAACACGATTTACTTCCAGTTCAAACAGAGTTCATCGTACGATTTGATTATCTGAAATACAATTTACTCTCAGTTCTAAAGAGTTCACGATAATACTCTGTAACACGATTTACTCCAAGTTGTAACAAAGTTCATTGTACAATTATCTGAAATACGATTTACTCCCAGTTCTAAAGAGTTCACGATAAGACTCTCAGAAATCCGATCTACTCCCATTTCATCTTACGATTATCTGAAATACCATCTACTCCCAGTTCTAACAGAGTTTATGGTATATATATGTTGTCAATCATATGTTCTTTAATGATAGGGAATACAATCTTGCTGTATAACCTAAAACCCCGGAGAATTTCGCATGCCCAGTAACTAATGGGGTCTTGGGTTTAATCCCGATATTGTTCCTGGGAATTGTCATCCTGCAACCCCCACCCACCTTTTCAGTGATAAATGATATAGGGGGTCGTGTCTGGCAACAAAACAAAGTATCTTGTCATTTCAGGTGTCATAACAAAAGGTGGATCTAAACCAAACATTATACCAGATTTAACGGAATTAGAATATTATTGTCGAGCACCAACTGATACTGAACTAGATGTATTGAAAAATAAGATCAGTAAATGTTTTGAAAGCGCTGCTGTGGCTACGGGTTGTACGGTAGGTCAACAAAAGAACAAAGGACTTTATACGCTAGGTCATCAAGGAGCGGATAACCAGGGAATCGGGGGCCTAATAATCACCCCTTCTGCACAGAGACCTAATCTCTTCCCTGAATTGCCACCATATCTATAAATTAGTACACTCTTGTTATGTGTCACATAATCACAGATGTTATAGACTCTTTCTGCCACTTTGACACATGAAAGTGATTTTAATATCAACATATATCAACCTTTCCGACCCCTGGAGTTCTTGGTAGCCTTTCTTATGTGATTATGTAATCGTAACTTGTTGTTGGCATGTTTTATTTAAACTTTCTTTGTCTGATTAGCATGTATCGAATGTTAAACCTGATATGATATATGATACATTAGCCAGATGCCTAATAAGATCCTTTGTTTGGAAGGATTTATAAACCCAGATAACAAACGAATCGACAGTCAGGACACGAGAGCGGAGGCTAGGCGAGGGCGTCTAGAAATTAACTCCACGCAGGTTTGGAGTTAAGAGCGGACAACGGCCATGTAATATAAGTTAGTTGGGAGTTGGCACACTCGTGCCTAGTCAAGCTAGGGCCATGGCTCCCTCAACACATGCTAATTACGGAGTCGTAAGGTTTGTATATAATATGTTAGAAGAAGAATAAACGTATTATAAGATGCTAAACTAGTAATTGTTCCAACAATCCTCAGACATTCATCAATTCGTCGTGGTATGCTCCTAATCAACCCTCCAATCACGATTTGGGGCAATCTGACCCACTCCTGGTGCCGTGCCACTACCAATTCTTGTAGTATTGTCCGTTGACGTCGACGAACACGTCTCCCGTTCAAATTAAACGTAACACGATAAAGCAAAAATACGCTAAACAGTAAGGTTTGTATATAATATGTTAGAAGAAGAATAAACGTATTATAAGATGCTAAACTAGTAATTGTTCCAACAATCCTCAGACATTCATCAATTCGTCGTGGTATGCTCCTAATCAACCGTCCAATCACGATTTGGGGCAATCTGACCCACTCCTGGTGCCGTGCCACTACCAATTCTTGTAGTATTGTCCGTTGACGTCGACGAACACGTCTCCCGTTCAAATTAAACGTAACACGATAAAGCAAAAATACGCTAAACAGTAAATCTTATGGAAGAACCGATAGGAAAGCAAACATGGATAAATAAACCAGCACGCTTCAGTTTTCGTAAACTCTTCCTTGAAGTGTCAAATTTGACAATGAACCCCTCCCACGTGCAAGGCACTATTGCGTGTCGCATGTGCACCTCAGTGGTTCTTCATCTGTGAGCATACTCTCAAAGCATGTCAAGTGTCCATGACTATTTATCATATCACAACCTGCATAGGTATTTGCATTTCAATATCCCCTACTTTTTTTGAAGATTATATATAGAAATTAAACTATCGTTCAACTAGCTTAGCGTCTGTTCTCAAGCGGAGTTAGTTGTGCACAGACAACTTAAGTTTAGTATGATAATCACCCACAAGAGCGCGTTTTTGTCAGTAACGACAAAGACATGTTACAGATGCAGACAGATGCATATAGCACAACGTAATAACTAAGCTATAGCCCAGGGCCGTTTCAATTACTAAATCAGAAAAAAAGATTTTAACTAAAATCAAAATGAAATTTTAAATCTTATGCGTTTCACGAAGATCGATTGTAACTTAAAATTGAATTTTAATAGATTTAAGTTAAAATTGATTGCACCTGTTCAGTCATGTTTTTCAACAGCTGACATACAAATATAAAGAATTACGCTACGGAAACGAAAACTGTTGATAATTTGAACAAGCTGTTAACATAACATTGATAATAGCGTCTTTGGTTACAGCAATGAGTTAATTGCAGATTACTCCTTTCGAACTCTTATCATTGGGTTGGCCCTGAACTTACATTTCCTCACATACTTTAATGGAAATATGCGTATCGGTGATCTAATTCGCTTGTATTTCGTAGTTTTATGCTATTTTGGATAACATAAACTGTCTGGGGTGCCTTACCATAAATAAATATCTCCAAATATCTCGACAATTGTACCACAATATTTATATATATATATACCATGCCTAAAATCAGTTTTGCACATTCAAAGTCACTAAATAAACAGTTATGATGTTCTAAATAAGATATGGCCATTTATCCAACAATAATTATTAGACTAAAAAATGGTTACGAGTGTCGGCCATAACATCCGGGCACTTTTGAGTAAAGAATAGGTTACGTGCCCTTGTTTTGAATTGACAGGCCGGGATGATCAAGAATACTTTTTTTACTAAACATAACAGAAAGCTTGAACAAGAAATTGAATTTAGAAACACGCACGTTAGGCAACTCAACAATTGTTTTAAGAACCTTGCAAAAATAAAATGAAACTACTTCTAGTATCATGTTCTTGCCTAACCCGAGTGTTTCAGATATATTATATGTACTATTAAACCAAAAGATGTCGCTCCTAACGTTATAGTTAAATTTAAAAAATAAAACTGACTTAATTTCTAAAGCTGCCGTAATAACCCAAAAAACTAAATATTACAAATATTACTGCTATTCAGAATCGTGAACAATAGATTTTTTACGGCTGTAATAGATCTGTAGTGAATTTCAAATGCCATGGTTATTTTCATACCCATAGTTTATTGTGCCGAGTGTTATTGCACCGCGTGACTAGCCAGAAATCACTTCGAGACAAACCATTGTAGCATGCACATTCGCCGTGTCAAGTTTAGTTTTCAGTAGGGAATATTTATATTTTAAAAAGATGAATAAACAGAGCATAGCCATGTAAGGGCCTACTCAAACGACTAATCCGAATGTAAATTATTGTCGAAGTTTAAACGTATTTAACAACTTTGGAACTAATCCACCAAATAGCCAATGTTCCTATGCCCACATTGGAAATATCATCCCCATATACCTTTTCACTGATACATTGGAAATGCCAAAGTGCCACACTTTGGATAATGTCTATCTATTTTACTGACTTTTTCCCCAAGATATAATAACATTGGCTCCTAAAACTTCTCTGATTTATGTTATGTTATTAGCGTAAGCTTTCATTAAGAAATAACAATAAATTTAAGATTTGGATTCCCCGGTTGTACGTGACAAGGAATAGGGTCGCCTGTCCAACCCTGTGGGGTTTCTCTTGGTCCTCCGGTTCCAAACCCACTGCTAAAGAACCCTACGCGCAAGTGAATTATTGAAATAAAATTGAACCATATGCTAGACCTGAAATGACCTAGTTTGTGTCGAGTAGACGTTAACCCCCCCCCCTCTCTCTCTCTCTCTCTGTGGTGTTTGCAAGCGTACGAGACTTTATGATCTCCTTATATTATAGCAGTAAGTAGAGGGGCCCTACTACATGCGAAAGACAAACCCGTGGACAAAACAAACTACACAGACATTAATATCAAATCAAGTAAATGGATCCGAATGCCAGTTGTTAACATCCACTGTAGTCCAATTACTATCTACTCCATGAGATTAGATAAACGTTCATAGACCAATTATGTAATCTGACTATAATAAAACTTTCATTAATTTAATTTACATAGTCTTCCCGTTATAGTTCGACAATAGCCAAAACAGGAAAAATGAGATTAAATAAACGTTTTTTGAGCAATTATGTCATCTGGCTACAATAAAACTTAACCTTTCATTAATTTACATAGTCTTCCTGGTATAATCTGACAATAGAACAATACAGGGCCCGATTCCTAGAAAATTCGTAAGCACATTTTTTGCATAGATTTTAATTAGACTTTGCATTTAAGTAAACATATCTTATTTTGTGTTCCCAGAAAATTGCTAAGAACGTCCTTGTGCTTAGATTTTAAGTAAAAGCACGTTATTATGTGTTCCAAGAAAAAACTTAACCACTACTTCGTTTTTAAACATTGTCAATCTAAGCATAAGTCCAAAGCAAGGTATACGGCTGGCTTACCAACCTTAAGCATGTTGTTGCGTCAAACAAGATGGCTAACCGTAGAGTTATTTGGCGGCATTTCCTACCAAAGGGACAATTGAAAGACAGAGAAAATCTTTTAGAAACACATTTTCGAGAAGAATGCTAAAGAAAATTTCGCTTCTCCTGTGAAACCATTTTATTTATTTACCAATTAGTAAACAACACAAATACACGGGCTACTTTAAGATCAGGGGCTTTCAAAATTATACAGTCTGTTTGCATGTGCTTGCGTTTTTTGTGGCACATTTTATATGACATTGTGTATAGGGGTCATGTCACATGCATCTACATGTAAATCGACCATTTGCTGGGAAGCAACCGATCAATTTATGACGTAATTCGCATAACAAAATTGTTTTATGACGTTAGAGAGCATTGTAGTCTCAGTTTACCAGTTACAATGTGCTTAAACCCATACTTGACCTGTGCTTACTTAACGGTCTTGAGGATTTCGGCCATTCGCTCGATTAGTTTTAGCATCCAAGATTTCCAAAAGTTTTCATCATCATTTTTTCAACATTCAAGACAGCGTTTCTCCGTTACTATTTGAGGTGTCAAGTTGAAACTTGATAGGAATAAGGAACACATCGATGCCTTCAAAATGCCATATTAAAAAGAATTGTGAATGCTTCCGGAAACTACCGGACATTTCCGAGGCCTTCCGATTTTTCCCCAGCGTAAATAATTCTCTCTACCTTAAAAATAACTAAAATGACATAATATAGTGATCCCCAGATATTGTCTTTCATTTTCAGAAACCCTGTTCGATAACATTTCCAACCGTGTGGTCGCCATATTGGATTTACAAAAAGCCTTCAAATCGATATTCTGCCGCCATTTTTATTCTGATTTTCGAAAACTTTTTTTTGTTGTTTTAAACCTAGTCCAGGTGGCAACAATTCTTAGGGTGCCGATTATGAATTTCGACGTCGTTTACTTTCGGTTTTTCGACTTTTTACCTACTACTATCTGGTGAACTAGCCGTTCAATGGCCCTTGACCTTTGCATATTTGATGACTCTGGCGTCTACAAATCAAAAATATTGAAAATGAATCAGGTTTTTAGTTGTAAACGCAAATACGGTGCTCTCTCTGACGTCTGTGATTAGTATGCTGTATGCGATGTGTATCTTTGTTTATTAACCTTACTCCTATTTTAATTATCTAAATACTTATTCACGAATGTAGCAGGTATATAGCCCATGGTGTTTTCTGGGTACCTTATTATCAACTGTCTCTGCACATATGCAAATTGTGTATGCTTGATAACGACTATTGAAATCTTGTCAAAACGTCATGTGTAAATACTAGTAATATTCTATTATTATTCTTAATCCCTTATTATCCATTTTGTAACTTAAGTAAAAAATAATTACAATATAGGGCAATTATAGGCGGCATTTATCATTCTTTATACAGGTCTTACTTTTAAAGCAATGATTTGAAAGTTTCTGGGCGTATTTGTGGATGTGGGCCTCAAACTTTGTAATCCAAGAATATCGAGTCTTACTAGGATAGTGGGAAAATTAGCACAGTAGGATTGAATCCATGTATTGGGGTGGGAGGATGTGTGTCGCAGAATGATGTGCGTTAGATCATAAGGTCTGTCATTAAGTCAAGTGATGTGGTTTGAGTTTCCCGCCTACACATAACAAAGAGTGAGGTCGCCAGTCCAGCCTAGTGCGTTTCCTCCAAATCCTCATATTCTCTCCCACAGCTAAAGACTGTGCGAGCAAAATAATCATTATACAAAACTGAACCATATGTTAGTAACGAAATGACCTAGGTTGTGTTCAATGGACGTTAAACTCCATTTCTCGCCTGTTCAACCTCGTGGGTTTTCTCCGAATCCCCCGGTTTCCTACCACCGCTAAAGACTCCGTGCGAGCAAAAGAATTCTTAAATAAAATTGAACCATATGTTAGCCTCTCCCCATTCTCTCTCTCGTCTGACTGGGTTACACAGAATTACTCCCACTTTAATTGACGGTGACGGCCAGGTTAATAACCTAATTATATAACAAGTAGTTTATATCTCTACAGGTAGACGTTCGTTTCGGCGAAAGAGGTTACTCAAGTTTAATAAGTAATAACATCATATCAGAAATATTTGAACAGAACGCTGCCGAGATGGGGATTGTTCTTTCAACTAAGTCAGAAGAACCAACAGGATCAACTGATATGGGAAATGTGACTCATGTTGTTCCGGGTATTCAACCATTGTTCTGTATCGGAGGAATCGCTGCAACACACACGAAGGACTTTCAAGTGGAAGCGGGTAGGTTATCTTGGTTACCTTTGTTAGTAAATTCTCTTTCCTGCACCAACTGTTCTAATGAATTAATGTAGCTATTAAAGATACATTATGCAAGATTAGATGATATTATGGGAATATGCTGAAAATGTCAGTCAAATTGCTTCATGCTAAGTGGAGAAATACTAATTTTAATAACACTGTAACTTCGATTGTCATTGTTAACGTTGCAACGATATTAAACGAAATCTCGATTGTCTATTTTTGCGGGTAATCATCCATGGATGCTGAACGTCAGATCGGATTAAAATCTAATGAAATTCGGAAGCATCATATTGCATGTAGGGTTGATTATGTTCCTGTCATGTTCACAAATATCTAATTAATAGTTTATATAACATTTCCGGGCTAAAGAAATACCTGCATTATGCAGATTTAGCTATTGCATAATGTATATAAATGAAATGAAATGGGGTTTAACGTCCTAATTCTCTTCAAAAATCGGACATGCGGTTTTCTTTGGTCAAAAGTTTGCCAGGACAGCGACCCTACAGCCTAGTATTATTTTGAATTTCAACTGTTAATTGTTCTACACGAGACCTTAATTTTACTTACAATCCGAACCACTGACAAGGTGAAATCCTGGTGATCTAGTGAGTAAAGCTAGATCGGAGGATTTTGCCCGGACAGTAAAATACCCACAGAAGACACGCCTTGTCACATCAACATTCAAGTTACACCATAAATTATTGACTATAGTAACATACAATACCTAATAAAGGGGAAACCCCTGTCATTTTGAAACCTTAATCAAACCGGAATTTATACTTCCTGACCGAACAGGATTGGTGGAATTAAGAGTAGGTTCAATACAAAAAAACAATTTTCGAAAATCGGAATTAAAATGGCGGCTGAATATCGATTTGAATGTTTTTTGTAAAATCCAATATGGCGGCCAAGCGGTTGAAAATATTATAGGACAAGGTCTTTGAAAATGAAAGATAATATCTGGGGCTAACACCACCATATGTCATTTTTTATGTCTGTTTTTAAAATGGAGAGGACTATTCATGTTCGGGAAAAAACGGAAGGCCTCGGTAATTTCCGGAAGCTATCACAATTTTTTTTGATATGCAATTTTGAAGGCATCGATATGTTCCTTATTCATACCAAGTTTCAACTTGATACCTCAAACACTGATGGAGATGTGCCATCTTGAATGTCGAAAAAATGATAAAGAAAACTTTTGCAAATCTTTGGTTCTAATATTAATGATCGAACTTCCGAATTTCGAAAAACCGTCAGTCACAGCCCATATGGGATTCGTACAAAGAATCCAAAAATGAAAACCTGAAGAAGAAACGTTGAGAAAAAAAATCAAGATATGGACAATCTGATACTATTTTTGTCCCATCCGTAAAACACTTCCTGGTCGTCAAAAATGACAATATTTATATTTAATAAATAGATCCATTGTGGCCAACCACATCTACGCTGGCAGAATATTTGCACCATTTACAGTTTTGGCTTGCAAAACTGACTACCCCCCCCCCCCCACCAAGAAAAAAAATAATAAAAACACTTACAAAAACATAAATAAAAACACTTACAGAAACAATAACAACTAGATCTGCATAGCAGATATCAAAGCTTTCATATAAACTTCAAAAGGGGTTATTAGAATCTATGAATCATCAACCACTCTGACGGATGTAGAAAGGAATATATTGTTACTAAATCTGTTGTACTGTTTCTTGTTATGGTAAAGAAAACATGAATACAACTATGAGATTTGTATAGAATTGGCATTAATCAATATATTTATTGTTTAATACTACATGTATATTATAGATACAAAGTGAATTAAATGAACCCAATTACATGTACTTTATATAAGCAATGTTTTTTTATTCATCGTTACTTTGAAATCACATTATTTTCATTGATGATAAAAAGGTTGTATTTGTACCGAATCCAAAAAGTATGTTGTATGACATTGCATTATCTGTACCAATTATTTATTTACAAACCAATATACAATGTTTATTTCTACTCCAATATATTTGTTTCAACCCATGATAGTTTATTCACTCTTCTCACTTAAATACAAGAATAACACACGATTAAATTACTGAAACAAGTAATGCTGGTAGATTATAATTTGATATTGTATACCATTTACTCTCTGTTAGATAAGGCGACGTGGTAATCTGTTAGATAAACATACATGGAAGTATATGTTAGATAACTACAATTTATGATATATTTTAAACCAAGGAAGTGGCCTTTCTAAAAATAAAAAAAAATAAAGGAAAATATATTTCATACAATTGTTATACTGTTACTGTTATCGTGAAGAAACATGATTGTTTATTTAATGTTGTTTATGACAAACATGTAATCATGTACATTTTTTAAATAAGAACAATTATGCTACATGTATGAATAACTCTCAAAAATTATGTTTTCATCAATCCAAGTATTTTTTTATTTGTATTACTTGATTTATACTGAATAAAGATTACACAAACATACAAAATGGTGTTGGCTGTGTGACTGAATTCCTCGTTGAGAAGTGGTATCGGGTGTCCCATAGAGAAGAAGCAAACCCTCCTTGTGATACACTTGTGAACATTTTAAAAGACCCATTTCGCTGTGTTCCAGAAAAATCCCATTATAGCTAGTGCATTACATGGTTGTTGTTGGGGGAAAGGTGGGTCTTTTCTATTGGCAATGATTTACTTTTTATAGGCCCACATTGAAATGTGGTCGTATATTGTCGTCGCCCCCCTTTTGCTGTTAATATCCGATTGACTTTAAATTTATACGCAGTGTTTAAGGTCATAAGACGAAGAAGCCTTTGATTTGCTCTGCCCAGGCAACGTTCCTGTGCTCCGATTGCCTTCAAATATGCACAGAATGTACCTTGGGATTCTAGCTATCACATATTAAAAATAGAAGAGTGTTGGATTCCGAGAACGTTCAAAATAAATTCAAAACCCGCCCCCAACAATCAAAGGTTTTTTGCTTAAAAAATTGCCGTATTTTATCGAATTTTTATTGTTCTTGATATCTGAGGATTTTTCTCAATTTAGTATGTGATAAATATCATCGCGGCGCAGCCAACCGCTAGAAATTCCAGAGATTTGGACCACCGGAATGATGCCTCAGCAGTCAAAAAAGGTCAAAATAGGCGATTTCGGTTTCTAGTGTCGATACATCGTTACGGTCATTTTAAAAAATTGTCTTTTAAGGATAATGTGTATAGTACCAGTACCTATCACATACGGAAGAGGCGATAAAATCTCTTTGCATTTGCAATTTCAAAATTAATTAAAACCAATATTAAATTCCGAAAATCGTTTTTTTGCTAAAACTTTTTTTTTTTTAATCGGATCAAAATGGGAGTAAGGCACAGAGTCCGGGGTGGTAATGGGCGTATTGTGTCCAAATTTCATGGTTTTCGGACAATCGGTGCCGGTGTCACGGCGAAATTCCACTTTTTTCCCCTCATGGAAGCCGTAAATTGACTTGAAGCCAGGGTCCTTGAAGTTGTACAGCTGCACCCGGTGACCGATATTTATTTAACGGGGAATAAGTGATAATTCATATTATAGCAGTAAATAATTAAAATATTTCATAGGGATTATAATAATATCTATATCTTGTCTGGGTACAGGGTTAAAACCAATATTAAATTCCGAAAATCGTTTTTTTGCTAAAACTCTTTTTTTTTAATGGGATCAAAATGGGGGTAAGGCACAGAGTCCGGGGTGGTAATGGACGTATTGTGTCCAAATTTCATGGTTTTCGGACAATCGGTGCCGGTGTCACGGCGAAATTCCACTTTTTTCCCCTCATGGAAGCCGTAAATTGACTTAGAAAAAAAACGACGAAAGGCAGGTGACAAGAACAAACGACTTGAACGAATGCAGGTATCACCTTGAAATTTTCAGGGTACCTAGGTACCAACGTGAAAAGTTGCTCGCCGGAATTTAGTACTCATGGTACCTTTGGTTCCAGCGTAGCGCATGCACGAAGTCAAATCCAGCTAAACTCGAAAACAACCTTGTCGGCACGGAAAACATCAAAGGAGAAATTCGAATAAAAAATGATACAATGATTTCACACAACAGGCCAGCTATTAGCCTCTCGATTGACAAGAGTTTCATCGCCCTCCATTCATTATAACCAATGTCATCGTGCCCTAAAGAATCAACAAATCAGCTTGCTTATCTCTGCTTACCCTAGGCAAAAAATGCTCATCTTTGAATTCAATCATGACATTGACCTAGTGAACGCCTACACCAAGTTTGAACATTCTAGCTTAATTAGAAGGAGAGTTCTTGTGTTCCAAAGTCCCGGCCCTTCAAATTGCTTCTATTTTTCATTTTCAATTCAAAATGGTGACCATCACGTGACCGAAATCAAAATTCTGATCCGATAGATTTTTAGGTATTCCTTCCAGGATTCCGAAAATATGACGCCCGAGTCTGTAAGTAAAATAGCAAAAAAGCCTTTTTGATTTTTCACGTTTAAAGATGGTGGCACTTCCGGTTCGATCGACAAACTCCATATTTTGTGTACGAATCAGTAATTACTTGTCTAGTATCGAATTTTTTTTTTAGGTCATTCTAACCTATATTTCGACGTTTTTTTTGAAAACTTTGATCCTTAATTTCACCAAGGGGAGATAATTTAGAAAATTTCCAAGGACATCATTGAAGTCGCATTGGCAAGATCTACTAACATTCTAAATTTCACGAAAATCGCACAACTATTAAAGAAGTTGTCAAATTGGTAATAACTTCCGGTTCGAAATGACAGCGACGAATTTTCGAAATTCCAAAATTCGAAATTGCAGATTTGAAGTAAATGTTTCAAGATACTCAAAGAAAAAAGAATTAGTAAAATAGGTCAAATAGTCACAAAGTTACAGCATTGTAGGTCAAATGCATTCCTTCGTAAAATTCGGTGATTTCGGATTCGTAAAACGTTTTGAAAATATATTTAATCAACAGCCACCACCCATTTTTGGGGGGATAGGTAAAAGTTTCAGAACGATCCTATGGTTAGATTCTGAGAAATCCGATTTGTGGACAAAACACAAAAAAAAAATAACAATAATAATCTTAACAGAAACAATAAGCTTTCATATGTAATATGAAAGCTTAATAATAAAATCACTTACAGAAACAATACGCGTTTCGGACATTCGGTCGAAACACGTAATAAAGGAACGTGGAGAAATGGAGTTTAATACTCGAAAACCGGATAATTCTTTCATTTTGCGAATAGGATACGTTAAATTGACTTTTCTGCGCAAACTTAGAATGGAGACAGAACGTGTATTTTAATTCTTCTTTAAGTTCATCGGATCTGGAAGAGAATTGAGAGAGGGCGCACCGCCTCTCTCGCCGGCATTGTTAACGGCGGTTTGTTACATGAGAATTTGTTATTTATTACAGGTTCATCAGTTGCTCAGATGTTTACTTTAAGACAAGCCCGAGTCCTTGCGATGACTGTCTTAGATATATTCGCTAAACCAGAATTATTAACTAAAATAAAAGAAGAATTTATCAATGACACAATGTAAAGTATGTAATTAATTTAATAATACTATTAAAAATATTATACAACCTGTTTATCTTATTAAATTCAAATATACATTTCAAGAACATTCCTAAAATTTATCCTCCAAACGGCGCACTATTAAAGTTGCTAGTAATTTTTATCTAGAAAGCTGTGTTTGTGTTATTTCAATGTTTTCCTATCACTTAATGCCTTATAAACAATATGTCCTCCAAACCCGATCCTTGTTAAGCGCAAGCTTAAGTTCTAAACTACGCCAGTTCGAGACTATGCGTAAGATTACCCCCCCCCCTCCTCCTATCAAGGCCAAGATAGTCGAGGACCTGGGTTACTAGTTATCTAACTAGCATGGGAGAACCACCCCTGAGGCCAATCCAGTTACTACCAGTTACCTAGCTAACATGGGAGAACAATCCCGCAAGGCCAAGCATGCCATGGACCTGGGTTACGAGTACACAACATATCCAATGAAAAATATTTTATTTTGATACCTTTTGACCACTTTCCGAGTTTTCCGTTTTCGTATAGGCCAAAGTACAAAACTCGGAAAACTCGGATATTCGATTATAACTGCCATATTGCATTATTTTGGTTAAAATATAACTGAAAAGTTACAGATTATGTCCAACTTATTAAATAGATGTATTACTACAACTACTTTCGCCAATTTAAAAAAAATAATATTTTTGATAATTTTCCAACTTTTTCTCTTTCCGAGTTTTATGATTTGACTCGATTGAAAACACAAAACTCGGAAAGGTCGGAAAAAATTGTCCGACTTTTTTGTTTGAATAGAAAACTTCGAAAATATTTTCCGACTTTTCAGTTTGAAACAAAAAGTCGGACAATTTTTTCCGAGTTTTGTGTTTTCAATCGAGTCAAAGATAATATCAACATTGTTGGCATTTTTAAGGAAATTTTAAGACAATCAAAGGTACAATACTCTCGGAGTCCTGCTGTTAAGAGGAAGCGAATTTCAATACCAGCCATTCTGTTTAGCAAAAAGAATGCACCAACACAACGCAAGAGACACACATGGTTGCTTATTTAATATGAAAACTTGAAACTGTCCCAGGCGACTACAAAAAATCTAGTTCTATATTCCGTGCTGTGTAACAGTACAAACAAACAGTGTCCAAAACATTAGTTTTTTATTGAACGATATCAATATGTTTTTTTTTTGTGAAACTGTGAATTCTGTTTGTGATATATATTTTTATCATTGTCAGCAGATATCTAATCTATTTTAATATTTTAATTAAATTCTTTCACTAATTTAATTCTTGTATTATTATCATTTAATTTGCCTTTAGTTCGATTTGCTTGTTGTCTATATATTGGTGTTTCCGGTATAGATTTTTGTATAGTGGGATGACAATTTAAAAATGTATTTTTGTAAAATAAAACTATCGAATATATTATTTTTAAAAAGTTGTTTGAGATTTCTAGTTTATTTTAAATTGCCTGTGTATATATTGGTGTTTCCAGTATAGATTTTTGTATAATGGGATGACAATTTAAAAATGTATTTTTGTAAAATAAAACTATCATTTTTAAATTACCTGTGTTCAGATAATTGCTCGGGTGAACTATCAGTAGTTGGTGGATGTGGTACATGAGGCAGGGTATGTGCTTACTCTATTTTAGAACATCAGGTACCACTTCTCCTAATTTGATTTCTATGCGCACATAAAAATGACATGAAATGAAATGGGGTTTAACGTCCTACCGTTCTGCTCACACTGGGCTTATGTAGACAGGCATACGTCATACAGCTCACTATGAAGAAACTTTTGTTCGGACAGCGGCGCTACGGCCTACTCTTCTATCGAATTCCAACTGCGAAGGGATATTTTACGTGTACGTCAATGTGTACACGTGGCATGCGTACGTGTACACTTCTGGGGGCGGGGTAGTCCTATGGGTCCGACAAGGAGAGTTGGTCTAGTTTTTTCGGATCAGACGACAAACCGAAGTCCTTGTTTTTTCGCGTAATCCGAACTAGTTCCCCCATCCTGCACAACTGACAATGGGACACCAACTGAAACAAAACCCGCGAAATCTTCTTGGTCAACACTGGTATAATACTACGGACAATATGTAAGTCCCGAAATGCTCGTAGCAGATTATACTACCCGAAAAATGCTTTCTGAAATTCTAAAGCTAGTGAATTGATGATGGCACAAGTAGTTATAGGAAATGTAATAAACAAGGGAAAACTAACATTAAAAAAAAGAAAAAATGTTGTTGTCAAGGTACTATTTTGGAAAATGTATGAATAATGTGTAAACATGCTGACGTCGGTTAAACTGGGTCATTTCGGGACTAACATATGGTTCAATTTTATTTCCATAATTCGCTTGCGCGTAGGGGTCTTTAGCGCCAAGTCTGCTTTAGATCTTCCCATATCTCAATTTTTAATACCTTTCAATTATTTTAAATTTTCTATAAATTCTTTTATATATGACCGCTGGCAACGGTCTTGGGATCTTGCAGACACAAATAAACTTCATCACATTAAACATCTCATAGGAGACTGGCCAAACTCCTATAGAACCAACAGGAGGGATGAAGTTGTTTTGTGTCGCTCTCGTATTGGTCATACTTTTTAAACTCACATTTTCATTTTGAAGCGAGAGCCGCAACCAGAATGTGTTCACTGTCATGTTCCTTTCTTTGACAGTTAAGCACATTTTGATTGAGTGCAATCATCTCAAGAATGTAAGATCAAACTATTACCGTTGCCAGTCACTACATCAATTATTTGCTCAACCGGAGTTGTATGGGAAATTGTTAAACTTTTTAAAAGAGACAAACTTTTATTACAAATTTTAATTGTATATATATATATCCGTATTTTTGTTTTTAATTATTTATATACATAAAGGACTTATATTTATTTATATTTATTTTTAACAACATTGTCTGTGATACTTGTTTTTATTTATGTATATACCGGTAAATATATTTATGTGATATTGATTTAATTTGTCTCGTCAAAGTCACCATGTGTTTGGCACCATATAGCCCGGTTGGAGCTGACGTGCCATAAAACTCCATTTCATTTCATTTCGTTAGCAGTGGGAGGAAACCGGAGGACCCGGAGAAAACCCACGGGGCTGGTCAGGCGACCCTACTCCTTGTCACGTTCAACCGGGGATCGAAACCACGCCAGTTGACTCAATGACAGACTTTATGATACAACGCGCACGTGCTAACCATTCAGCCATCCGACCCCCCAACCAAGGTTGTACTGTTACGCCCAACAAACAGGATCATACCATGGCCCCCAACAACCAGGGATTGTACTGTTACCCCCAACAATCAGGGTTGTACTGTTACCACCAACAAACAGGAGAGAGAGAAATGGGGTTTAAAGTCCACTCGACACAATCTAGGTCATTTCGGGACTTACATGTGGTTCAATTTTATTTCAATAATTCTCTTGCGCGTAGGGGTCTTAGCGAACCATTTGGCAACCCGTCCCCCAGCCCCCAAGAACCAGGATTATCCAACGGTCCCCAACAACTAGGGTTGCACCTTTTGCCCCTCAACATTAAAGATCATGCTTCAGAGTTGTCAGATTTATGCCCTGATGACAACAGCATGGAAGAAAGCATAACCTACGCTTAAGGAAGTAAAGATGATAAACAATGTCAAGCCGGGGATCAACGTAATAAGGAAACAATTACAGGTTAAGTTTTTTTATTATAAATGTTTCACACGTGTGCTTTAGTTAGCCAATTAAATATCCGAGTTTTCCGAGTTTTGTATTTTGGCCTATACGAAAATACAAAACTCGGAAAACTCGGAAAGTGGCAAAAAGATATCAAAATAAACTATTTTCCATTGGATAATTATGATTATTATACAGCGGATGTATCCTTAACGGGAATAACTTGATATTTAATGTAGCCCACTCAAGTTTTTGTTGCATCGAGACAGACATCACAGGCAGTAGGCCTACTACGTGTCGAGAATATCTAATTGGATAATTAAGTGATAGTAACACATCTATTTAATAATTTGGACATGATCTATAACCTTATCAGTTAGATTTTAACCAAAATAATAACTACACAGACATTAATATCAAATAAAGTAAATGAATCCGAATGCCAGTTGTTAGCATCCACTGTAGTCCAATTACTATCTACTCCATTGTGTGGTATCTTTTGTTTTTAATTCAGTGAAAAATGAGATTAAATAAACGTTCATAGACCAATTATGTAATCTGACTATAATGAATGAAATGGGGTTTAACGTCCTACTGTTCTGCTCCTAACCTGGGCTAATGAAGACGGGCATACGCCATACAGTGTGCTATGAGGGAAAGTTTGCCCGGGCAGCGGCGCTACGGCCTACTCTTATATCGAATTCTAACTGCCAAGGGATCGTTTACGTGCACGCCAATATGTACACGGGACCTTGGTTTTTCGTACCATCCGAACGACTAGACAGCTGTCCTTGTCAGGCCCTCCGTCCTGCATCACTGACAAGGGGAAACCGTGGTTTATCCTTCAGCTTGGGTCTATTGTTCTTGGCCACTCATTCCCATAACGTCGACCAAAATTTTTCCCCTAAAACTCGGTGAGTCGGCGATATGGGAATGAACCCAATTAAATGCCCATGTGGACAAATTGCGACCACGTCACACCTGCTAATCAACTGTAATCAATTAAACAAAGAACGTCAATCCGTAATTAAGAATCTAGAAGAGAGGGGAAAAACTCTCTGTCTCAAATCTCTCCTTTCCCCACAACCTGACGATAGATACTGGACATCACAACTTGTCTGGGATTTTATTGAGAATATAGGGATGACCAAATATATAAAATAATAAAATTAATCAATTAAACAGTAGGGCGGAACGTAAAAATGTCCTCTAGAAGGAAGCGTAAACCGCCCTACACTAATAATAAATATAGGCAAGACCAAATACATAAAATAATAAAATTAATCAATTAACAGTAGGGCGGAACGTAAAAATGTCCTCTAGAAGGAAGCGTAAACCGCCCTACACTACTAATAAAACTCCGATAAAATTAATAAATCAAATTATACAATGTAGGATGAAGCGAAAAATCGTCCCCTAGAGGGAATCGCCACCTGTCCTACACCACAAATAAAACTATTAATTAATAAATCAGGGTGATAGCGCAAAAATGTCCCCATAAGAGGGAAACGCTACACACCCTGAAATATTCTTTACACTTTTATTTATTTGACTAAATAAGTATTGATTGTAGATCATATTAAGCCACCATATATGTATTATTGTATTTATTAACTCCTAATAAATTTTGATTGAATGTATATCATACTAACTTGCCATAAACGCATTTTTTTCCCTCCTAACCCAGCCCCCCCCCCCCCGAAGCCTTACTAGACGAAATAAAAACAAGACCAGCTACTCTTTTTTCTCTAGCTTTCTCTTTCCAGGCGTTGGATTCTTCCTTCAGAGAACCAACAACAAAGGAATGAACAACAGGAATAATGACGAAATCAACCACGATACCGGACAACAAAACCAAATGGAAGGAAGAATGGTCCAGGCCTTACACTCACCAACAAGCCCCAAGGAAGAGTTGCACCGCCCTGCCATTCAACCGGACAAATCGACCAGACCGACGAAAATGACCTAAATATATAAAGGATATTGGTCGTTTGACAAAACGACAAATGTTCTATTTATTTTATGAT